TTGTGGTGATTTCTTTTGCGTCCCTTCATCTATAATTAATCCCACAGCTGTGAACTCATTAGATTCCATTTTGGCATTATGCTAATGGTTTCCTGCATCTGGATGATTGTCTTTGTTCTGTTAAAGGCTCAGTAAAGGGGAAAACTACATACATAGATATATAGAGTCCTGGTGTGATTCCGCAGGTTAATGCACGGGGCTACAAAGTCGGTTTGAATCGCAAGGTCAACAGTTCAAGCTCACCAGCTGCTCCTCAGAAACCCTATACAGGGTCGCTATGGGTCGGAACCGATCCGACGGCACTTAACAATAACGCTACATATATACATACAGGGAAGAAGCCTGAGTAGCATAGTGGATTACTAGCCGGGCTGATAAGCACAAAGTCAGCAGTTGAAAATTTCCAGCCAATCTTCCAGCCATTCAAAGATGATGAAGCTTTCTGCTCCCATGAAGATTGACAGGGTTGGTATGAGTTGGCACACACCCACCACCACTATCTTATATTCAAAGAGGAGTGTGCTTTGTCTCAAGGAAACGGGAAGGTTGGACTTGCCCTTCAGCATCATTGAGTTAGAATGCTCTGCATTGCTGTACAAGACAGGCTCTTGCCTTTAAGTTTTAAGTCTAGCCAGAAGGAGAGGTTAACACAGTTGAAACTAGAGGTGATAATGGCCAAGTTGTAAATGCAGCTTCTCTAAGGAAGACGTGGTACCTGAAGGGGTTAGGTTAGGTGGAGACCTCAGAGAGCTCTCCAGGAATGGGGACCACCAATGAGACCCAATGGTGCTCCTGTCATACGATCTGTCAAGAAGAAAAAGAGATGTGGGGTCTGGGATCCCTCATTCCTGAGCTCATTTTTCTTTTAATTTTCAAGTAAAATGAGTCATTGATCGAAAGCTGGTTATAGTAATAATTTAGATTAAAATTTAAAAGGGGGCCAAAGAAAGAAGACCGTGTTTCACATGAAATCTATGAAGTCTTCATTTTGTTCAGAAAAGCCTGTGTGCATGCATGTCCTAGGTTGGAGCTTACGCAGAAGTGACTCTCAGCAGAAGTGACTCTCAGTGCTCGTGCTATCATGGTGTGATGCCCCTTGGCTAAAAATCCAGGAAAAGTGATGGTCAAATATCCCCACACTTGCTTCTGGATTTTCCCAGAATGTTCCTTTAAGGTCTTAGCCTGCTGAAAGGGAAGGTTTAAATACCAGAAAAAGTAGGACGTAACTGGTGACCCACAAAGGAAGAAGACTCTACATGGCTTGAAATCAACTTTTCTGTTCCTGAGCTTGGTCTCCCCATTTCAAGGACCATCGATCTCAGGGATGTTGATATAATTGGTTATGCTGACCAAGATTACCTCTCTGTAGGGCCGAAATAAAGCTTCCATAGAAGGAAAGCCACTCAAGAATGGCCAGAAGGTTTGTTAGGGACAGAGGTCTTACGCAAAAACGTCACATCAGAAGGTGCTCATCAAGTAAGCTGCGCCTTGTGAAGTTCTTTTTAAACATAACCTCATGGGTGACATCTAAGAGGCATTTCTCTGTTAATTGAATGGGTTCAGAGCTATATCTCCAGTCCACATACCCCCTCATACACACACACATATGCACATACACAAGGTCTCTCAGCTGAGAACTCTGTCTGCCATTTTCTTAAGATAATAGCAACTCCTCATGTCTTAGGCTTTGGGTAGGATTTGTCTTCTGTGGAGACAGGTATACTGTTACTACCACTATGGTGTGGAGAAGGGTATGGAAGGATTTGTTCCCTCTGCTTCCTGGTGGTGGGGAGGAGGGCAGGAGAATTTACAACATAACCCTTCAACCATGACTCATGACAACGCCTTGTGTGTCAGTCGAGCTGTGTTCCAGTGGCTGATTTTTGGGAAGTAGATCACCAAACCTATGTTCTAAGGCACCTCTGGGTGATTGGACTCCTTTGATTAGCGGCTAAACATGTTAACTGTTTGCTCCATCCAGGGACTTCCAAGTTAAGATAAAAGAAGTTAGATCATTTAGTTGTTGCTCTCCAAGTAAGGTGAGTGGCCAGCAGATACTATCTTACTCTATTCATTATTCTTAGATTCCAGGTGATGTTTCACTTCTGCTGTTACTTAGCCTTTCTTCTGTTGTCTGCCCATCAGGATTTTCATTAAAAAGTATAGTTGGAAATGTGGAAGGGGTGATAGAAAAGAACCAATTTGGAGATTATGGATACTTGGTTCCTACTTTACTTTAGGTCTTTGGAGGAAAAGATAATGCTTTTTATGCTTGGCAAATAGTCATCTCTGGGCAGTGTGGGAAAACTGGAACAAAGGAGATACATATTAAGCTGGCAAGAACTGAGGAGATTCTGTTTGTGCATTTTTATATGTACATGCAATTTCCGGAAGTGCAGGAAAATTGCCTTGCAGAGGGGAGAGGCTGGACGGTCTACTAAGAGCAGTTTCTCTAGCTCAAAAACACCACAGATGAGTGTGACCCACGGTCCCTTCCTAGTGACACCGTGACTTGCTGTTGCATTCCACATCATCCAGCTAATAAACGCCTCTGCCTGAAGCAAAGACGCTCTGAAATTTTCCCACCAAATATAGACTGATACCAGAGCAATGCTGCAAATTCTTGTTTATTCCCAAACTTGGCATCTTAAACATTGGAAAGTTTGTAAACATTCTGTATTGTGTTTTTATGAACGGTACCAAAACCCCAAACCGTTGCCATCAAGTTGATGCTGACTCATGGCAACCCTACATGCCAGAGTTACAACCACTTCATAGGATGTTTGTTCTTGTGATCTTTGTGAAAGTAGATCCCTAGGTACCACTCGGTGGTTTTAAACCACAAACCTGTTAGTCCATAACTGAGTGCAGAGCACCCAGGGAGTCCTGGTATAGCACTGTGGGATAAACCACTGGACCACAAGATTGGTGGTTCAAACTCACCAGCTGCTCCTTGGAAACCCTATACAGGGTCTCTAATGAAGACTCACTTAAAAACAGCAGGGAGCCATATGAGAATTAACAAAACAAAAACCAGCCTATTGCCATCAAGTTCTTTCTGACTTGTGTCAATTGGTGTGTTACAGAATAGAACCCTATACAGGGTTGCTATGAGTCAGAACAGACTGAACGACACTTAGCAACAACAACATGGGATTTTCTTGGCTGTAAACCTTATAGATCGTCTGACTGTTTCCCACTGTGCTAATGGATAGCTTCAGGGAGCCCTGGTAGCATAATAGATTTGAACCACAAGTCAGCAGTTCAAATTTACTAATTGTTCCAAGGGATTAAGTTTTCTGCTCCTATAAAGATTTATAGCCTCTGAAACCCTATATAGGGTCACTATGAGTCTTTGGAGTCCTGCTGTGTGAGTTAATGCACTGGACTGCAAGGTCGGTTTGATACACAAGGTCAGCAGTTTAAGTTCACCAGCAGCTCTTTGGAAACCCTATTAGGGGGTCACTATGAGTTGGAATTGATTCCACGGCACTTAACAACAATGAGTCTTCATCAACTCAGTAGCACATAACCACCACACCAGTGGGTTGGTTAGAACTGCCAGCTGCTGGTGGATTCAAGCCACCAGGGCTCCTTTTTAGGTTAATTGTTGTTGTTGTTAAGTGCCGTCAAATCGATTCTAACCCATAGCGACCCTGTATAGGGTTTCCAAGTAGCAGCTGGTGAGCTTGAACCGCCGATCTTGCAGTTCAAATGGCTTTGCAGTCTGGCGCACTAACCCACAGCACTACACTGCAAACCATTTGTGCTACTGTGGTAAGTAAGGAATCTGGACTGAACACTAAGACGATTTATTTAAGGCTCAGGACATTTCGGCCTATCTCCTTCCTTATCCTCAGGTGCTGAGATTGTCTTCGACTGTAATTCTCCTGGTGGCCTTGTCATTTCTTTGTCACCTCCTAATTTGTATCAGGCAGAGCAAAGTACCTTCTTAAGCAGACCATCAGCAAGGCCAGTGCTTGTCAGACACTAATGTGGTACAAATCTCTTGGGATCCTGTTAAAATGCAGATTCTGCACTTACATCAAAGTTGGATTTCTTAACAAGTTCCCAGGTGATGCTGACCTGTGAACCTCACTTGGAGATTGGAGGAGCTGTTGGCATCTCCTTTATTTCACATAGATTGCTGTGCCCATAGCTCCTCATTTTATCCACTAAACTAGGTTCCAAAGACCTTGGCATTATGCAGAAATGGAGGGTGACCGCATCAGATCACCAAATGAAAAATGACTATGCTATATAACTGCCAAATGACATCATCACCCCAAAAGAAAACCCAAACCTCCTAGCATTGAGTTGATTCCAACTCCTGTAGCAGCTCTATAGGACAGAATAGAAATGTGCCAAAGGATTTCTAAGCCTGTAATCTTTATGGGAGCAGATTGCCTTTCTGCAAAGCAGCTGGTGGGTTAGAACCACTGTCTTTTCAGTTAGCACCTGAGCCCTCTTAACCACAGTGCCACTAGGACTCCTTACATCTTTACATAACCAGCAAACCACTGAGAATCATGGTTCAGCCACATGGCATGCAGCCTTGATCCTCACAGTAAAAGCTCTGGTAGCATAGTGGTTACAAATCGGGCTTTGACCTACAAGGTTAGCAGTTCGAAACTACCAGCTGTTTGGCGGGAGAAAGATAAGGCTTTCTGCTCCTGTAAAGATTTACAGCCTCGGAAACCCTGTTCAGGGTCGCTATGAGTCGGTACCGACTCCACAGCACATAACAACAACAACAACACACTGGCCCAGTGATTACTGCCATCAGATGTTAAGGCATTACTGTGCAAAATAGCCAGATTGTAGATTTTTTCTATCAGTGCGGAACGTTAGATAATGAAATGGTCAACAAGCAGGGAGTAAGTGTACTGGGAGACGCTCATGACCTGATAGGAGGCTTGAGTGATGTATATGTTCTTCACAAAGAACTTTCTGCCCTGCCCATCTTGCTAACACTCTGGTTTGGGTTCTTCTCTCTGCAGGATTGTCTCAAAGCCTGCCAGGAGCAGATTGAGGCGGTGCTGCTGAACAGTCTGCAGCAGTTCCGTCAGGACCAGAGGGATGGCGCCAAGTCGGAGGATGAACTGGACCAAGCCAGCACTCCCACAGACGTGCGAGATATTGACCTGTGAGGATGACAGCCAGCCCAAGGGGAGAGGCGCATTCATACTCTTCTCTCTCCTTCCCTTTGGTTGGATTTTGTTCTTTGTGTTTTAGGATGAAACTTTACAAAAAAAAAAAAAAATGTCAGCCCCCACCTAGATCATATTTAAAGATCTTGTTAGAAGTGAGAGAAAAAGGTTCTTATAAAATGAAATAATTAAAAACATTTGGTGCCTATTTGAAGTACAACAGAAGGGAATCCCTTATATATATGAGCAGTTACCATTTTGATTATGTAAATGTATTCATAGTAAAATGCTTCAGGAATACCAGCAGAATAGTTAGAGAAAATGTATGCCTGCAATATGGGAACAAATTAGAGGAGACTTTTTTTTTTTTTTTTTCATGTTATAAACTAGTGCATTACATCCCTTTTAGGATAATTTTGAGGAACTGTGTATGCCATGTATGGCTTGATTAGATTGCAAAGCAATGAACTCAAGAAGGAATTAGGCATAAGGAGGGACATGATGGGGAGAGAGCACAAAACAATCGCTTAACATGATTGAACCATTTTGGACGTAGAAGCGCCTTTGCTCTGGACCACCTGTTACTACAACCGCAAGTGTTGTTGGATACTCTACCTTATGTGCTCTTGCTGCCAACAGTAGCTGCTACCTGAAAAAGAAGATGCTTTATTTTGCCAGCTGGACACAGGTGGTTGGCTGGCTTCTGGGTTTCAAGGTTTTTGACATCCTGCTTCTTCTTCCAAACATGGTTCATTGCAGACCACCACCATACTTTATCTAAAAGGGAAAACTAGCTATGGGCCATAACCAAAATCCATATGAGTGGAGGCCAACGGTGGGATCTGGAATGCAATCTTTAATCTTACTGTTTTCAAGAGGGTCATGTTACCTTGGCATCCCTAACTAGGAAAATTTTAATTTTGGGTGCTGATTGATATATCTGGTCCACAGTTTAGCATTGTTATAAACCATTCCATTCGAAAAGCACTTTGAAAAATTGTTCCCAAGGGATAGATGGGATGGTTTATGCAAATCATGCTGGATCGACTCCTCCCCTCTTCTCTTTCCCTCTTTCCCTCTTCCCCTCCCGCTCCTGGTCTGAGTTTCTATCTTCTGGTATCTGACATTCTCTAGTACATAGTTCTGGCATCGCTGTCAGAATCAAGAGACAACTCTTTCCACTGACATTGCCATCACAACATTTCCTCACAAAAGCCTGAAAACAAAAATCTGTTACCATTTTGATGTCATGGAAGGATCTTAATTCCCACCTATATGCTTCTCCTTTGGACATGGAAAGAAAAGTTATTGCTGGTGTAAAAACGGACAGCCGAACATCAAGGTGTGGCATTTTGTTCCCTTTTCCTTTTTTTTTTTTTTTTTTGTTAATTTTATTGCAACATTGTGTACAGCTACTTGAATATTTTTTTTTCTCCTCTCCACTTCTTAAAGGCATTTCAGTTAGCAAAGAGGTTGGAGCAACAACATTTGGATTTGTCTCTTTTTTTTTTTTTTTGCACAATTGCAATTGACAGGTAATGAAGCTATTTGTTAAAATATTTACTTTCTTAAGAAAACTCAGAACAAGGCTACTCTGAAGAATTGTAAGCAGATTCTGCCTTGTTTAATAGTGAGGGTTGAAGATGGAGAACATTCTAAGGGACTCATTTTTTTCATTTTATTTTGTTCAGTTTTTTGTTTTGTTTCATTGTTTCGTTTTTTTTTTTTTTTTGCGCTGCTACGAAGCTAAGATTCAGCCTATTCACATTAACAGTACCTAGCTGTAATGTTCACAGAGTGTGCTGCTATTTTATAAACATTTTTATAATATATTATTTTACTGCTTAAATTCCAAGTCCTGAAGTAGGTGGTTGAGATAATGAGTTCTTCGTACTGGAAAAGACCTTCCATAGTTTGTTTCCTTCTGGTAGCATGTTCATGTTATTGGTTTGGTTTGGTTGTTGTTGTTGTTGTTGTTGTTTTTTCCTTTTTTTTTTTTTTTTTTTTTTTTTTCTTGTTTTTGTTTTCTAACCACATTCTTCAAAGACAGAGTGCTCTTTACCTCAGGTTTACTGGACAAACTCTATAACTACAAAAGAAAGTGATTCACATTTTAGCTTCCATAATACCTCACAACCGTATCATTTCTCCTTGGGAGCCCAGGAGCATGGGGACTAGCGAAGGCAGTAGGAGGCTGGACTCCTCTCTCAGGTGGAAAGCAAGATAGATTTGGCCCCAGGTCTCACACCCAGGGGCTTTTTCAGTCATAAAGGTCATCAGGCTTCCATTTTGACTCCGGTTTCCCTCTCATGATGGAAAAAATACATTGAACCAAGGAATCCTACCAAGACAGAGTTTCAGCACAAACATTAATGCAATAGATTAGGACGTCATAATTTACACATAGGGACCAGGTATCAGAAGATAAATTAAAAAAAAAACAAAAAACAATTTACAGCAGGCTATTTGTAGACTCTCCTCTTACAGCCCTTCCAAAGCAGGGTTTTCGTTTGTTTAGGGCCCTTTCATCTGGAAAGTTCCCCATCTCTTTTCCCCTTCCCTTGACAATGGACCCCCCCAGTTTAGCATCCTCTCTGAGGTCTAGATCTGTGGGTATGTGAATCGAGCATACAACATATGTGCTGATTCCTTCTGTCACCTCTGTCGTACAAGGTGGCAAGCTCTAGGCAAGGCTGGCCCTATGTTAAGCGGTACTCAATGGTTTTCAGGTTCTAAATGACATAGAATTGGCATGGTGGGGAAAATAGGTTCGATGAGTGGTGGCTAGTAATTGAAGGAGGTGGAGAGGCTGCTTCTCTGCAAGGATGACTTCTGGAGAAGTTGATTTTGTTTGAAGGATGTTTAGAAGTGTAGGGTTTAGGACTTGGGGAGTTGTTAGTATGACCCTGGAATTCTAGGGCATTTCTGGTGGGTAGTGGGTAGTGAATTCTAAAGCTTTGGAAAGGAAAGCTTGAGCAATCTGTCAACTAAGTTTATCAGTAGCCCACTTTGCACAAGACTCTGGGCACCAAGAAGCCCGTAGAACAGAGAAGGCATGGTCCCTGGAGTTGGGCATTTTAACCCTAGAGAGACAATGAGGTGGCAATTACTTTTAACAGTGGCCAACCCCTAAGCTCAAGCAGAAGCAACAAATGAAAGAACCTGACAAATAGGAAAGAAACAGGCCTCCCAGACTCTGCTTATGGTCTGTAATGGTCCACTTTTCCTTTTTCCTGGGGTGGGAAGGGGGGACCTTCATTGGTATTTCTCTTCCTTCATCCTAGGGGGCCTTGTGTGGCAGTAGGTGTGGACTTGCTGATGTAGATGGGTGCTGGATTTTCTGCCAACTCCCTGCTTAAAAAAAGGAAAGAACTGTGGGCTTGTGAAAGTGACTGGTGCCCTCTTTGGATCTTGATTTCCTTGATAGAAATTTCTGTCCCAGAGGGATTTGTTTCTCCCTATAGATTTGAACCTGTTCCTCCCTCCCCCAATCCCACCCCCACCACTTTTTTCTCACCTCACTTACTAGGTTCCAAGTCTATTCTGTGTGGGTTTTTTGTTGTGTTTTTTGTTTTTTTGTTTTTTGTTTTTTACTTTTTTAGCTCATTCTTTTTCTATCTCCTTTTTTCCCCCTACTATTTAGGATTTCATTTGTTTTTTTTCTCCATCAGTGGGGGCTAAGTGATTTCCCCCTAGCCTGCCAAATTTCATTTCTTCCCCTATTTTGGCCAAATCTGAGGGGTGGGAGTTGGGGGGAGGATCCTAGTATGCCAAAAATTGCATACCAAGCATAATTAAAGTCCATGCAGGTTCATAACAACCAAGAAACCTAAACCTGCAGATAGAAAGAAGCCAAGGGGCCATTCCCTCAGCCGAATGTCTCCCATCTGATGAGACTACTCAGCTTCTTACAAGAAGGAGCTGCTCTCAGAGGAAGCTTTACTCTGGAACCATCCCAGGGCCCCACTGACGAGCACAGCATGTCTTACAGCTGAGCCACCCTTGGTCTACACGCTGTATACAAGAGACTTTGTATGCTGCCTGCATCAGTGGCTCAGAGGCTGTGACTTCTAGCAGGGGCTTACCTGTCAAGGCCGGAGGGGATTGAAATCCTGTGTGCATCACACTGCATCCCCTTGCCAGCAAGATGGGCTGCTCTGCAGAGGGAGGAAGCGGTAGCTTTCCTTTCGGTTCAGCGCCTTGAGAGCCTCCCTAGACTGCCCTGGGATCTCTAGGATGGACAGGATAAGGACCTTAGGCTGGATTGCATGACTTTCTCAAAGAGGGCAGAGGAATTTTCTCTCCATGGGCCACAGGAGAAGAAATAGACTTGCACCTTATAACATGTAAATATTGATTTTCTAGTTCAAGAAGATGATATTGGTAGTGTGGAAATGGGAATAGAGGGATGGGGAAGGAAGTCTGAGTAAAGCCAGTTGGCTTGTAAGCCAAAAGGATTCCTCTTTGTTTATCTTTGAGTCAGTCCAACCCTGGGAATAGCTTTAAAAGGGAAATGAGTGCTGAGACTGAAGTTGCCCCTAAGCCAACAGACTCTCTGGAGCTATCGAGCGCATCCAGGTGTCTGTCAGTGCGGACTCGGAGCAGTTGTCAAGAGATGCACAAGCAGCCATCCGATTGTACAAAATAGGGTAGGAAGATTCAAGAGGACGTTTATTAACTTCCTTATACCACGTGACTTTTAATGATTCTGGATTCTAAACAACCCAGACGAGTCATTTCAACCAGAATTATTCTCCTACATTTGTGTGTCTCTGCTTTTTAAACTTGGCTAGGGTATCTGACCCAATTCTTGGCTCAAGTTTAAAGAAACCATCAACAAATGTATACATACACGGCAAGCCGTAGCTGCAACCTCGATTCCTTCGCCTGCAGCCTACTGTGGAGAAAAAAGTGCCTTACTGACGATAGCCATTACAGTACCCAAATGTACTTTGACAGGTGCCTATCCTTAAAGTGTTTTAAGTTTTTATTTTAGTTGGTCTTTTTTTTTTTTAACTACTGGCCAACTCCTAAATCCCCAGCAAATCACCAGGCCATTGGATTTTTTCCATTATGTTGTTAACCCTTTTACCATGTACCTCAGATCTCTTTCTTTCACTTTTTCTCTCTGTCTCAGTTACACCGTTTTTAGTCTTGAACCTTTTTTCTTTTTGCTTTAAATGAGTGTGATGCCATATCGAGTCAATGTTATTCTCTCACATTTGTACTCTTTAAGAGGTGTGGATGTTTATTTGGTCGGGATGCTAGAAAGTGCTCAAAGTAGCATGACCAATAGAAACAAAAGGTTTTTAGGAAGTTTGAAAAAACATGTTTTATTGGCTGTGATTGTGACATGATATAGTCAGCTGCCTTTTAAAGAGATATCTGTTCAGTGTTAAGTGATTTAAAAATAATAACCTGTTCTTTTGATTAGCTTAAATGTGGATTTGAAAAAATGGTTTTTGAATGCAATTAGGTTATGATATTTGGACAATAAACTGACCTTGACCTAAATTTCCCTGACCATTGTGGCTTATTTATAGACCAGTGATCTTCAGAATAAAAGCACACTGCTGGTGCAGCATTTGGTTGCTAAGTGCTAAAGGTAGGCAGTCAAACCCACTAGCTATTCTTTTGGCAACAAAGATCTGGTCATCTAATCCCATCAAGATTACAGCCTTGGAAAACCCTATGGGACAATTCTTCTCTGCCCTCTACAGTTACTATGGGCCTGAATCCACTCCACAGCACACAACAAGTCTTCAGAATGAAATATGTCTTTCACATTAGCAGCAATCGGTAGTAGCACAAAATGGAAATCCTAACCCAGAAGGCAATGTAAATGTGCTTCTGTATTAGTAACAATACAAGTAATTACTGACTTTTTCACCCCACTTTTGGGTCACTCATGCAACCATCTTAAATCCGAAGCTTCCACAGGTGCTAGCTCCGTGTCTATAGCCAGCTACCTGGTCTGCCATACTTGAGACCTGAGAGTCTGGGCACCTCCAGACTCTGGGAGTCTCTGGAG